TATGACCGGACCTTAGAATGGCCGGACTTAACGGATCCAAGAATAGTCGAAATACTTGCCAAAATACTTGATCAGGAACACATAATCAGGCACAACGATGAAGGAAAGCCAAAAGTCATGGATACCAGAATTCAGGGAAGTCAAAATTAAGCCAAAGTCAAATACCAGAAAATCAAGATGAGGATCGCACTCTTGGATTACCATCAGGGTGAAACCACGACAGGGCAATGAGCAAAAGGAGAATTGGGTTTAAATAACCCTCCTGTGGATCCGATTGGCCATGACTGGCCTTTGACCCCAAAAGTAATTACCAGATTTCCATGGGCATGATTGCTGCTCGGCACAACTTTTCCAGTCAGGACGCTAATGTTGCTCGGCACAACGTTTCCTGTCAGGATGGTAAATGCCATTAACCACATTTTTATGTGCGGATGAATATGTGACAGGCTGGAGCTGGAGTTAAACCAAAGATGCATGCTCTTTGCTCATCCCCACTTGTGTCCCTCCTCTAACTTCTATGTGGTTCCTTCTGTATGTGGTAGGAAGTGACCAATTTTCACTTCCTCCTGGTATCGCCGATACTACAGGGGTAGTGCTGGTCATGCTGTTAACCCAGTGGCGGATCCAGGGGGGGGGCAACGGGGCAATTGCCCCCCCCGAGAAATCCGCCGGTCTCCCTCCCCTGCCAGCCCTGCAATGTGCCTGCGGACCGGGGAGGAAGATCACAGATCTCCCTCCCCGGTCCGCAGGCACGTGCTGGCGGCCGGCAGGGGAGGGAGTGAGAGAGAGGACCCGGAGCTCAGGCTGCAGCTCCTCCGGGTCCTCCTCACTCGAGATTTGGAGCGTTGCCGCGGTTACCAAGGCAACGCTCCAAATCTCGCGAGAGTGAACTCTAACCCGGGAGCGCGGGCTAGAGCTCACTCTCCCCACTGGGACCACCAGGGAATCCCTCACCGGACCACCAGGGAAATGTCCCCCCTCCCCCCAGTAAAGGTAAGAAGGGAGGGGGGACATAATGATTATTTATATTAAACTAAATTTATAAAATATATATTTTTTTAATAAGCACCCTACCCTTATCTCACACACTGATCCCCATACTGCCCCCCATACACCCATACTGCCCCCCATACTGTCCCCCCATACACACATTGCCCCCCATTCTTGAAAAATCTAAACATTGCACGGTTTCCTAATAAATCTGCTGCATAATTGACCCTTGAGTGCTTGGACCACAACTTTGTTCATGGAAATGACACATATCAAGACACATATCAATCATCTGGATATTCTATAAAGGCTTGTTTTCTATTCTAGAAAATTAGCCTTTATGAATTGCTGTATGTACATGGTTTTCCTTTAACTACAACTTGATCCAACGTCACCACTTTATTTGTAAGCATATGAACACTTCATCATAAATGCAGATCTTCATCATATTTACATCCACCTAATTTAGAGATTGGCAACTGTTATTGCATTTCTATTCTTTTCTTCTATATAAACATCCAACCATTAAGGCTTCCATATTATCACTAATGTCTTTGTTTACAATTGCCTAATACTAGGCTTTAATTAAAAAATATGAACTTAAACTGTAACTTGTGCGTTGTTAGCATTTTCACATTCTAAGTAAATAGGGATTTTTAGCAATAAAAATAACTCAAAGTTGGTGTATGAAAACTAATCCTTGTAATTACCATAAAGTATACCCCCTTCTCCTTGATTCCAGGATGCAACCGCACCTGAAATTGTCCAGTCCTCATAATGTAATTTTAAGAAAATAAAGGCACTTAAAATAAATCCAAAGTGAGCAGGTTTATTGGAGCTGATGAAAGCAACAGGGCTCTGTTGTGGTCTGAAACTATGCTTTCATCTGCTGCAATAAATTTGCTCACTTTGGATTTACCTTAAATTACTGGATTATCATTTATTTTCTGAAAAATAATCCTTGTCAGCCAGGATTACTACCCACAGTGAAGTGTTGCACACCAGAATTTGTAAAACCAGAACTCCACGGTATAGGTCCACTAACCTCCAAAATGCAACCAAAAGTGAAAAGCCACAGGCTGTACAGTATAGGGTGAATATTTAGACAGATATATTGTGGAATCAATGACAAAACAGAGATAGAGAGATACATCGAACCGGCATCAGGGTCATTGTCGCACAAGGCTCATTATTATTATTATTATTATTTATATAGTGCCAACAAGTTCCATAGCGCTGTACAATGGGTGGACTAACAGAAGTTTGATGCACAGGAACAATGTGATTGAGGGCCCTGCTTAATGAGCTTACATGCTAGAGGGAGCGGGGTATAGTGACACAAAAGGTAAGAGTAGGGTAGAAAAGTAGGTTTCTAGGATAGTATTCGTTGAGGGCTTAGTGTTTTGTTTTGATGACAGTTTCAGGCAAGGAATCAGGGTGCAGAGAGGGAAAGCTGTTCACAGTTTTTTTGATATGCTTTCCTAAAAAAAGTAAGTTTTCAAAGATTTTTTGAAGGAGTGGAGACTGGGTGAGAGTCTAACAGAGAGGGGAAGGGTGTTCCATAGGAACGGTGCAGCCCTAGAGAATTCTTTAAGGTGAGAATCAGAGGTAGGAGTATGTATTGGGTTAGACGTAGGCCTGCAGGAGAGCATAGGGGGCTAGATTGGACATATTTGGGTATATATAAGTAGGTGGGAGAAGCATTGTATAGAGATTTGTACGCAAGTGTCAGAATCTTAAATTGAGCCCTATATCTTATGGGAAGCCAGATGAGGGACTGGCAAAGGGGGGACGCATGGGAGGTGCGAGCGGACAGAAATTATAGACTGTAACGGGGCAAGTTGGGAACACGTAAGACCACTGAGAAGCGGATTACAGTAGTCAAGGTGAGAGAGGACAGCAACATGGACAAGCACCTTTGCCGTATCAGGCGTTAAATAGGGTCAGATGCACGCACTGTTTATGAGATGAAGTTGCAGGATTTTGCAATTGATTGGACATGAGGGGTGAAGGAGAGGTCGGAGTCAAAGAGAACACTTAGGCAGCGAACCTTAGAGGTAGAGCGGATGGTAGCACCATTGACTTGGAGGGACACAGACAAGGGAGTAGCAACACTTGTGGGAGGGAAGACCAGAAGTTATTTTTTGGACAGGTTCAGTTTAAGGAAATAAGCAGCCATCTGGTTGGAAATGGCAGACAGGCAGTCAGAGACATGAGTCAAGAGGGGTGGTGAGAAATTGGGGGAGGACAGATACATTTGTGTTTCATCTGCATAGATATGATACTGCAAGCCTGAAGGAGCTGATGAGTTTACCAAGGGAGGCAGTGTAGATTGAGAACAATAGGGGACCAAGGATATTGATGCATTGGTAAGGAAAGGCTAGCCCAACTGTGCTACAGTAGCTCAAATTGCTTAAACAAAAAAATGCTGGCCCTGATAGAAAAGTGTCAGTGCAGTTTGCTGCATATGGGTCTGTGTGGCCACAGACCAGCCAGAGTGCCCATGGTGACCCTTGCCGACCACAGAAAAGTACCGTCAATAGGGATGTGAGCATCAGAACTGGATCATAAAACAATGGAATAAAGTTGTCTGGCCTGATGAATAACATTTTCCTTTAGTTCAGGTGGATGGCCGGGTGCGTTGTTTACCCGTGGAAGAGAGGGCAGCAAGATGCACTATAGAAAGAAGGTTGACTGGTGGAGGCAGTGTTATGCTCTGGACAATGTTCTGCTGGGAAACCTTGGGTCCTGGCATTCATGTGTATATTAATTGACACCTACCAGCTACCTAGAGAGTGTTGTAGACCACGAGCACCTGTTCATGGCAATGGTGTCCCTGATGGCAGTGACCTCTTTCAGGAGGCTAATGCATCCTGCCACACTGCAGAAATTGTACAGATTTTAGAATTATGAAATCATGGGAGTGAGCTGAGAATTAAGTGAAAATCATAGCAGGCTCCATTCTCTTAAAGGACCACTATAGGCACTCCAACTTCCCCATATCTCAATCTGATTGGAATATGTGCTGGAACAACAAATCCAGTCCATGAAGGCCCCACTGCACAAATTGCAGGACTTAAAGGATCTCCTGCTAATGTATTGGTGCCAGATATCACAAGACACGTTCAGAGGTCTGTGGAGTCCATGCCTTGATGCATAAGAGCTGTTTTGGCAGTATGATGTGGAGCGAAAGAATATTAGCCAGGTGGTTTTAATGTTGTGGCTGATCAGTGTATAGCTACTAGAAATGTGCAATTCATTTCATTCCGAATGTACATTCAGACGAATTTCGTGCAATTCGGACATTCGGATGCTTACAAATGTCTGAAGTTCGAATTGCCAAAGTGCCGAATTTCCGAGGTGTCTAACCGAACCGAATTGCTGAAGTTCCCAATTGCCGAAGTGCTTCGGATTTCTGAAAAGTGGAAAACCAAGTGGCTGAGGTTAGGGTCAGAATTTGCTGAAGTGCCTAGCCGAATGCCATTGGTCCGAATTGCCAAAACAGACAAATTTTTTTACTTACCCAATTTTCCAAACCAAACCAAATTTCTTGTCCATGCACATCCCTAATCGCTGCTACTAGAGTATCACATATGTTTTACACACTTCTTCTGATAAACACTTACACAGTTAGGCAATTCACCTATCTTTTACAGTATACCCAGGCATTATTGGAAAAGTCCCTAGTTGGTTTAATTATTAAAACAGTTTTATTTTATATATATATATATGCTTATCATCTGCATATGCATCAATTCCTTCCACCATTTTCTTAAAACCAGACTTTGATTTCAATGCATGTAAATGTTACGTTTCCCGCATGTCGTAGCTATTTGAATGTTTCATGATGGTAACTAAAGAAGTTAAACTACAATTGTGCAATATTTACAAAGATGTTCAAATATCATGTTTATATTACGATGTTCAGTTTCGCTACTCCTACACTCTCTCTTAATTTTAGCCTGATTACATAGTTACATAGCTGAAAAGAGACTTGCGTCCATCAAGTTCTGCCTTCCTCACATAATGTTTGTGCTGTTGATCCAAAAGAATCAACGGCACAAACATTATGTGAGGAAGGCAGAACTTGATGGCTCTTTGTCATTTTACACAGCGAGAGAAAATTCCAAAGAACTTTCCCACGCTGTGTAAAATGACACAAAGCACTGTGATTGGATGCCTTTCAAGCCATCCAATCACAGTGCTCTGTGTCATTTTACACAGCGTGGGAAAATTGAACTTTCCCACGCTGTGTAAAATGACACAGAGCACTGTGATTGGATGCCTTTCAAGCCATCCAATCACAGTGCTCTGTGTCATTTTACACAGCGTGGGAAAGTTCTTTGGAATTTTCCCACGCTGTGTAAAATGAAACAGAGCACTGTGATTGGATGGATTTCAAGCCATCCAATCACAGTGCTCTGTGTCATTTTACACAGCGTGGGAAAGTTCAATTTTCCCAGCGCTGGGTAAAATGACACAGAGCACTGTGATTGGATGGCTTTCATTTTATACAGCGTGGGAAAGTTCTTTTGAATTTTCCCACGCTGTGTAAAATGACAAAGAGCACTCTGATTGGCTTAAACCCACCAATCAGAGTGTTCTTAGCCTAATTGCAGGGCGTGGCAAGGCTTTATAAGCCTTCCCCCGCCCTACAGAGCTCAGTCTGTGCGGAGCCCTCCATGGGTGAAGATGGATTATTTTTTTGCGCTCGGGTTTTTTCTTTTTCGGCATTTTTTGGGGGGGGCACGGGATTTTTTTTTTTTTTTAGTTCGACGGTTATGATAGTTTTTTATTTGGCCTTTTTTGGGGCTGAAAAATGAAGATTTGAGAAAAAAGAAGACATCTAATGGTAAGTTTACTTTTATTTTACAGGTTAGTTATTTTATTCCCAACTCACTATTTTTTAGGGTGAGGGGGTTAGGTAGGGACTTTTTATTTGCGGGGGGTGGGTGACTAGGGGCTTGGGGACCCCTATTCACCTTGGGGGGGGAAATTTACTTAGGGCCCCCACCCACAGCCCAGGGGTGGGGGCCAGGGGGGGGAGGACAGTAGTCCCCCCCCCTCATTATCTTTATGGCGCCCACCCGCCGCGCATGGGTGGGGGCCGGGGGGGGCAGTAGGTCCCCCCCTCATTATCAATATGGCCCCCACCCACCGCCCAGGGCTGGGGGTCGGGGGGGACAATAGGTCCCCCCCTTATTGTTCTTAGGGCCCCCACCCACCAGGGTTAGGGGTCGGGGGACACAGGGTCCCCCCTTTATTAGCTCTTAGGGTCCCCACCCACCAGGGTAGGGGCCGGTGGACAATAGGTCCCCCCTTGCTACATTATTAGCCCCCACCCAATCGCCTGGTAATGGGGACAATATATCCCTCTATTAAGTGTTCTTGCATAGCAAGACCACTTATTGTTATCTCACATACATATTATTATTCTTATTATAGCCAAATTTGCCACCCTAACTCCTCCCACAGTTTTTACACTACATAGACCAAAATTTACCAAAACGTGCAGATTGTTCCCGATCGGATTGCTATTACTTCGTGGAACGTTTCGCCGAATGGTTCACGGAATATCATCATTCTTGTCCCATAGGAATGAATGGCAAAGCTAGAGTGCGAGCTGGCAAAAGCTGAAAAATCAGGACATGATTTCTAAACTGCCACCACTCCCTTATTTTCAGGCCCACCTACACAAATCTTATATCAAAATGTTCAGCTATCCCTGCTGCCACTAAACATGTCAACGGCTAAGCCATAGTCCTGATACTTTTCACAATATAATCATTTGTTTGCAACTAACGCCGTCCATTGACATTCATTGAAACTTCACTCTACAAAGCTCAAATTTGAAGTGCAATTTCTAAACTGCGACTGTGCCTTCATTTTTAATACTTCAGAGACATACTATGCATCCAAAGTAGGTCTGGGTCTTGTGATTGTCACAATATAAAGCTCTTCGCTGTAGGATTTATAGTTTTTAAAATACGACCGTTTGAAGATGGCAACCGCCAAAATACTCTGACCTGTGTCAGGCTGCAGCAGCAAGTGATGTCATAGACAGGGCCTTTTGAACACCTGCTAATGTTTTTATAAATGTATGGTTTAATGGAACTGTGCAACAACGTTGCAATTAAATGTGCTATATAAATGATAACAGTTACTCCACCCACTCCAGTTGTAGACTGCTGGTGGAGGCAAGAACACTTCACACAATGAACACTTTTCTAGTTGTTATTAGGGCCCCCACCCACCGCTCAGGGGTGGGGGCCGGGGGGGACAGTAGGTCACCCCTTATTGTTAATTTTAGGGCCCCCACCCACCACTCGGGGTGGGGGCCGGGGGGGGACAATAGGTCCTCCCCTTATTGTTATTAGGGCCCCCACCCACCATTGTTCATTTTAGGGCCCCCACACACCGTTCAGGGGTGGGGGCAGGGGGGGGACAATAGGTCCCCCCCTTATTATTATTAGGGCCCCCACCCACCGCTCAGGGGTGGGGGCCAGGGGGGGACAAAAGGTCCCAACCTTATTGTTATTAAGGCTCCCACCCGCCGCCCAGGGGTGGGGGCCGGGGTGGAGGAGAGTAGGTCTCCTCCCCCCCCTTCAGCCAGATAGAGTCCCTGTGTGTTTTAAAATTCGCCTGCCCATTGAAGTCTATGGCGACATCACTATTTAAGACTATGACCTCTTGTTGTGGTAGTTTTTCTTCTTTTAAATATAAGTAATAGCCTGAATGCATTGATAGATTCAAAATAAATAATGCATTCAAATAGTTTAAGATGTTAATGTTAGTTTAGCAAAAAAAGTAAACTTTTGATGTTCTTTACTTACAGCTGGGATTGACATTGATGGGTATATAGAAAGCTCAGAAACTGAGACTGATGGTAAGTAAACATGTCTTACTTTTGGTTATGTCCTTATCTGCTTATTATGTTTGGAACACAAGCAGTTTGGATACATATTCAGTGCTAAAAATTATAGTACATAACAGTTGCACTACCAGTCTTCTCCAACTTTTAGTACAAATGAGCAAAAAAAATGGTCAGTTATCTGTTGCTGGACGTCCTCACGCTCTGCATGAGGACTTCCAGCGTCAGATTTTTCCCTATAGGAAAGCATTCATCAATATTCTAATGCAAGCGCGGCTATTTCCACAGGCTGACGTTGGCAGGGGAGGAACGTGAGCAGAGCCTGATCCAGAGCCGAGGGACATCGGCACTGGATTCAGGTAAGTAAATGAAGGAGTTTTAAACACTTCATCCTCATGGGAGGGGGTTACCAGGGAGGGGGACACGGCTTTGTTTTCCTGGCACTATGGAATCCCTTTAATGCTTCAGCATACCAAGGCATTTTGGACGATGCTGTGCTTTGTGGAAACAGTTTGGGGATGGCCATTTTCTATTCCAATGACCTTTTTCTACTCCTTTTCTATTCCAATTATTATTTATTTAGTGCTAACAAGTTCCGTTGCGCTGTATGACTGGAGTGTGTGACTGGAGATTGTGAGCCAGACTTTCTTGTCCAACATCAGTGCATGACCTCACAAGTGCTCTACTAGATGAATAGGCAAAATTTCCCATTCACACAGAAAAACTCAAAAATCTTGTGGAAAGCCTTCCCAGAAGAGTGGAAGCTGTTATAGTTGCAAAGGGGTCCAATTCCATTTTAATGTCTATGTATTTAGAATGCAATATCATCAATTTCCCTGTTGGTGTCAGGTGTCCAAATACTTGTGTCCATATAGTGTAGCATGTTAATTGGTGCATTCAAGTTAATAGACACATTTTTAGTTTTGTCAAATTCTAATTTATTTTAAAAATTGCCAGGTTAAAGGAGGAAAATATTTGAGATTTTGCATTTTTCACCAGAAACAAATAATTATTTTCTAATTCTGGACAGTAAAGTTAAATTGTTGAGTCAATATATTTTAGACTATAGCTTACTGATATTGAGATGTTAAGGAAGGCACTATTTTGAGCAGAAAATACAGTTTAGTTTTTTTACATATGTATTATAAAAACATAACATATAATCAGCAAAAAAATTAAATATTTTATTCTATAGTACATTTAAATCTAGATGTATATTCTACTGATAGCTATACCTTTGCACATATCATATATTTGGAAACGTATTTATACTTTTTATTCTTACAGATTCGAGTGCAGGATATTGGTCAAAAAAACGTCAAGTTCGATATTTGCAGAAAAATCTTGATGATCAAGAAGATAGTGAAAGTGAAGAAAGTGAAATTCAGTTACCAAAGAGAAAACAAATTACCAGAAAAAAGTCTACCAGAAGAAGAGAAACAGAGGAAGAAGACAGTGAAACTGATTCTGAGTCTGAGATAGAGAAACAATCAAAAGCCAGACCAAAAGTACAAAACAAGTATAACAAGAATGGCACTCAGAAAATTGAAAAAGAAGATGCAAACAAGAAGCAAGAAGAACCTAATAATGATAAAAAGAAAGGCAAAAACATTGTAAATGGCAAAAATCAAACCCAAGGAGACAAAAAGAAAAAAAAGAAAAAGAGCAGGTAGCAAGCAGACATTTTTTTTTCTTTTCTTAACAAGTGAAATCTGACATGCCTTATATCATATAAGGTTGTGCATTTTTCAGTACTGGAAGTGAATTAATCAGTAGGACACAATTCAGAAATCCATGCTTTTTCAGATTCACTTTTTGTCATTGACTGAAGATTGCTGACACCTTGTGGTTCTGATACCAGATGATATTGGCTGTGCTAATTTCAAATGTCTTCTTTTCCTAGGGCACAGGTAGGCAACCTTTGGCACTCCAGATGTTTTGGACTACATCCCCTATGATGCTTTGCCAGCATTATGGCTGTACGAGCGTTGTGGGAAATTTAGTCAACATCAGGAGTGCCGAAAGTTGCCTACCCCTATTCATAGTGCAATGACAGTCCATATCTTCAGTTGTGTTGGAACAAAATGGAGTAACCGTACCTCAACTTTTTTATTTGAAAACCAACAATAAGCAATTTTAAAGCTAGAAATGCAGATTCAATCATACCCCTTCAACATTCACACATATAAGCACCACATATCAGTTTGCAGTCTTTAAAGAAAAGGACACCCACTTATTAACCCAATAACCCAACATTATGTATCATCACCATGAACCTTTACAGTGCAACAGCAGTTTCATATCAGGAGCAGGAAGAGTGATGACTACATAACATGTCCTGCGGATTATATTTATGTCACTGGCACTGACAATGCAAGGCCTCGGGTCTCATGCATTTCCTTTCCACAATCTCCTGGTGCTCCAGCTCCAGAAGTCATTGATTGATTTCAAATACAATTCTGTAAAATGCACATATCAACCTGTCACCTTTAACCTCCATTATAGATACTTTTGGAATTAAAATGCCATTAATATACTTTAAAGGAAAATGTTAGCACCAAAACCAGTACATATTAGTATAGTATATTTGGTGCACTCTGAGAAGAATAAATATTGT